AAGAAAATGATCGTCACTGTAAAAAATTTATCCTTTCAGTTGTTATGAAAAATCACATGACTACACTCTACCCTTAAATAAAATATTACTATTTTATTTATTTAGTTTTTTTTCTTAGTCGAAACTAATTAACTTATAACAAAGTTGCTTTTGCATTAGGTCGAAATCAAGTTCTTTATATACATGTTCTTTACATATTAGCCCGAATTGGGCAATTCCACCCAGTTTGGGCAATTCTGCCCACTTTGTACTTGGGAGATTCCACCCGGTCTGGGCAATTTCGCCCAGTCTGGGATAATCATCATTAATTTCTACTAAATAAAGTTAAATAAATATGAATATGCTATGGATTAATTAATAAAAATTAAATAGACGGGACGTAACACGAATTCAGATGATTATACATTAGATTAAATAATAATATAGAAATAAAATTTAAATTGTCCCGGAATTAAGAGATTCGACCAAAAAATCTGCATCAAAATCTAATTCCAGCAACAATACTAATTAATAAAAATTTTTTATAGGGGAAAGATAGATGAATATAAAAAGTAATGTGTCTTTTTACTTGATTTTTTGTCAGCTAAAATCAGGGATTGGATGCTGGAATTCCCATTTAATATTATATTGCCTATGGCTTAGGATCCACATACCCCTCCCACTTTACAAAATAATAAAGTTTGCAAAAAAGAATAAGATTTACAATGTAATAAATTTTGTTACTTTAGTCAGCACAATTTTCAGTAAAAATATAGCATGATCAGATATTTTAATTAGTTTCCATTGGATCATTTAAAAAGTCCAAGATATCATATCCAAGCAAATCTTCTTCTTCACCTAACAATTGAACAGATTCTTCAGATCCATCAGGATATATCAATTGAACAGATTCAAAGTTTTCAGTGCAGAGAATATATATATCATGCTTTTTATGTTGTTCTGGCTCTGAAGCATCCATTCCACTATTATGAATATCAATAAGTGCCCACTTATCTGCATGTTTAAGAATAGGGACATATATACCACCTTCTTCAAACCTTTGTTGATGTTCTAACTGTCTATCTCCATCTCTTAATAGTTCAATTTCCCATTTTTTCTTGTCATTTACATAAAAGTCTATGTAACCTGTTGTATGTGAAATTGAAATTATGTGAAATTGAAATATTATGGAGTGGAGTGAGATTCTGATTGGCTAATTTGAATTTCATGCATGTAAATTTGAATTTCACATATGTGAATTGCAAATTCACATAATTTCATTTTCACGTACAACATAACCCTTTGATCCAAAGCATCTACAGAAGCATAAGTATCTTCAGGTAAAATCTGCATTGAGGCATGGTAAAATTCCATTTGCCAGACACATTCAAGAAGATGACCATCTGTGCCTCTGCCTTTACTTTTTTGCAATATTTTTGGATTCATTTTTGTGAAAACTAATTTGATAAATTCATTGAATGTACTAGGAGGTGGTTTAGATTGGCTTATTGCACCAAAACGGTTTTGATGGTATGTTACTCAGAGCAATGGTGCTGGAAAATCAAGCAGTGCAAGATGTGATTTGTTTGAACTTGTATCAACAAGTGCATTGGTCTTAAGAAGTTGACCATCATTTGGAATTTTCTCTGCTTCATAATCAAGACCCCCTTTTTTGAAGAGTACAGCATCAACAATTCTTCTTTCTTCATATGAAAGATCAGAAGCTGGATAAAATGCATGGATAGTCTGGAAATGTATACCGTATATAAATTGTTTAGTAAATACAACTAGTTATTAGAACAATACAAAAATATAATACATTACCTTGAGGAGATCATTAAAGTCATGAGATTTCAGATAAGAAAAAATTATATCAAAAGATAAAGAATTACTGTCTTTTTTGGTAAATCTTTCACCAATATGATCCATAGTATAAACAATTAGACCTGGATAGCAAACTGTTATTTTGGACAAATAGTTAAAAAGATATGGAATGTCATCTTTTACCAATTTTTCTTTAAGATGTTCTTCAGAAAATCGATCAAAATAAACTCTAAATTCTTCTTTGGTATAGCAAATATCTTTATATCCCCATTCGTTTTTTGTAGTAAGATTATTAAGTGGTGAAATGTCCATGTCTGAACGTTTTCCACGAGTAGCATAAGCACCATAGTGACCATATGAGGCCAATGCTACAATGGAAAGCTGCAAGTTTTGCATTATGCGCTTAAATGCATTCCAAAATGCACTTCCACCATGACAAGGTTCTCCATTTTTTTTTCTATATATTTTTTGCACTTCATCAATAATCAAATATGTTTTTTTATCACTACATTGCTGGAGAAACTCATTCCATGTTATATTCATAAGCATTTGAAATCCATCTGCAAATGTCCATGAAGGATCAATCAAGTTTTCCATCCAGATCAATGAAATGCGAAAAACACAAGCTGATCCATTCTGCAATTCATCTAATTGGAGCAACTTGGCCTCAAGTAGTTGTCCAAGGGATGTTTTTCCTGTCATTGGTGGTGATCTAATTAGAATAATGTGTTCTTTAAACAGACATTCAAGCAGTCTGTCAATAGTTGGTTCTCTCTGACATACAGTAGCACTAGTAAGATCAACACCTTCATAAAAAAACCACTTTCCAGTCCTTTGTAAGTTGTTCCTCCAAGACCTCCTATTCAGTACAAAATAGTGAATAACAATGAATCAAATGCACATTACCACAAAAGTTAAAGACAACAGCTTTATACCTAGTCTTGATATTCCCTTATTTTTAAGCATGTCTGTCAAAAAACAAAACAGGTTAATCAAACATTGCAAATAGTATTTACTAAACATTCCCGTAAACTGATGTGGACAACAGACAACTGGACGAATGCTCTACTATATGACTCAGTGATAGTTGTAACAGCATTCGAACTATCCTCATCCATTACTCCTATTTTTATTAACCCAAATGTATCATATCTTGATAACATGTCTTTTGTTCACCATTAAATAAGTTATGTATAACCTAGTTTTGTTACTCCCAACTGATAACTTTCTAACTATCCTCCCAATAAACATGTGTTGATTGCTTGCTTACCTTGTTCATGAAACAATATGGTAGAAAAAAGGCAATTTAAAAAAAATTATCGAAGAAAAAAAATACTAATTGATAGTGGAAAAAAAAAGTCAAACGATAAATAAATAAAAGAAATGGAATTAATGTTTGTACTCGTGAGTGCAAACACTAAATGGAATGAACGAAAAATAATTTATGTAATTTTTTTTTTTTACACAATTTGTTCATTCATTACCTTTTTCCTCAAATTTTCGCATCTTCCTTCTATCATCTTTTTCCCTTTCTAGCTTTCCTTTTTCCCTTTCTAAATCCTCCAGCTTCTTCTTCACCTCTCCATATTCATCTTCAGCCTTTTCTAACTGTTTTCTAACTTCTTCAAACGTTGCCATTTTTATTAATTTTAAAAAAAATTTTTTAGATCGTACGCAATTGTTACAATTGTTTCTATAAATAATTTGGGCCAATGACAAAGAGAAAATTAATTCATATGTTGAAAATCGTCAGAATACTCGCACGGGAGGAAAATACTTGGATCCAAACCATGTAAAAAATGGCACTCCAGAATATTTTCCGTGATCATGTTTATCACTCCGTAAATCTTCAGTTTATTTCATAAAAACAGCACAATTAAGTAAGCAATCCAGATTTTTTCCATGATGTCATTTATATTTATAATAGTGAAATGGGGAATTATTCACCAACTATTCGGTTAATCGGATGCTGAAAATTTTTCATTGATTAATTAATCGGGTGTTGAAAATTTTCACTGGATAATTGGTGAATAATTTTTTATCCACGTAATTGAAAGAATCATAGCGCTGATTTTGTTTGAACCCCATAACGTTATGAATACTTTATACTAGCAAAAACCCATTGGTTTTGAGGTGAGGCCATTGGTTTGACGGGTTGATAAATAGTAAATTATTTTTTTTAGCGGTGCAGATAATTTTTTTTAGGGTAATTATCATTCTACCGACCAGTTTACACATTAAAAATACTCATGTTTAACATCAAGACACAATAAGACATAAGGTTTGAAAAAAGACCCAGAAAACCAAATCGGCTGATATGTAAAGGATTATTCCTTACAAATAAATATTACAAAATGAAAAGAACTTCCATACATAAATTTTTTATAGGGTGATGTTGCTAAACACAACATGATTTTGAACCTGGATCAGTACCTGAAGTGATTTCTGAAACTGGTGGTAATGATAGTTAATGTTAATTAATTAATAACTTAATTTATTATTTTTTTGCTAATAATATTATTTAATTACACTGACAAAGGAAAAGATGGAAACGGTCGATGAAATTAATTAAACTATTTTAAGGATGTTGTTTAAATTCAGATCGATGTCAGTTTTAAATTGCCGATGGAAATTCAAATTAACACAAATTGAATTTGACAAAGAATAAATAAAACAAAATAAAAAATAATAATAAAATAAACAAGCAAAGTTTTGATTGAATTTCCTTTGTTTTTAGCAATCGTCTGGACACTTTTAAATATATAAATATATAAATATAATAATCATTTTTACAATAATTACAATTAATTAATAGATTAGACTTACGTAATAACTAGGGTCAGGATAACAATAATGATGACAATCTATTTGATCAAAAGTCCAATGAAAAACGTTGCCATGAAGATGAAAACATGCAGTGTCACTGGCTTCGATGTATCGATTATTACTCCCGATGTGACCCTCAACTATCATGTGAGTACAATATGTCGTGCCGTCTGGTAAATCATGACTCGATGCTCTACAAAATGCATAGTTAGTAGAGCAATCTTTCATTCCATCGTCCGCTAAAACATGACCATTACAATCAGTTATATAAGTATGACATCTCGTTCCCGCTTCAATGGTAGAAGTTACATTCGTATGGAGTGCTATACATTATTTACATCAAAGCAAACCGGTAAAGTCATTAGCATAGATAATTATCAAATCTTTGCTACCCATGTTCGAAACTTTACCTTCAGCTATGTTAGCTACTATGCAAAAAATTATGGAGATGGTAAGGATGAAGGAGATACTATATTTCATTGTGAGTGTTATTGGCTAGAATTAGACAAAATATCGTTTTCTCGGTATGAAATACAAAAGAGTACGTTTTTCAGACTGATTAATTCCTCAAGGCATGCGTATTTATAAGGAATTTACTTTATGCATGATTAATATTCATTTAGAGGGGTTTACTCAATAAATCTCATAAATGCAATCGCTACTTGGTCTATATTCAGCCAAAGCCGAAGGGAATTTGAAATTCAAACTGATTAAGATTAATTTTTCTTACGGACTGTCAGATATTTGCGCGTGATATGTAACTTTTTTAACTGTTAAAAAACTTAATATTAATAATTTACACATGTTACGAAATGCGAAATTTATCTGTTTTTATTTTTATTTATTTAATTTTATTTATTGATAGAGTTCTACCATATTATCATGACTAATAATGTATGAAGTTTCTTGATTTACACAACGGCTTACTTTAACAGTAACATGACTTTTTACATGATTTTGTCCAGTAAAATAAATAAAATGAGGACTAGTTGACAATGATACCTGATCTACAGGGGGTGAAGTGTCATTTCACACTAATACTAATAAAATTTTTTTTAAAGAAATCACGCATTCATACACAAACTTGCTTGATTTAATCAAATCGTTATTTGAATCATAAAAAAAATAACAAATATATGAAAAAACCTTTATTTTGATATATTTTTTGCCAGGGTAAACAAATACCACTAAGCGATAATCTTAACATGAAGTTGGACTACCAGTTCTATAAATTCTATAATAATAATAAATTAAGAAATTGGATGACATGCACAATTTCAATCTTTGGGCTTAATAATAATAATAATAAATGCAATAGTTAAGTTCCAATTTCCAACCTTTAAATGATAATTTGTTTATAGAAAAGTATTTTCATAATAATAATAAACATTTTATTAATATATTAATATACATTGCTGGATGAAATAGAAGATTGTATCAAACAAAATTTATTGATATTTATTTAATATTTTTAAACAAAAACAAATTCGCGTAACAGGCTATTAATAAAATGGAGTTAATTTGGTTTTTTTAATGTTTTTAAAGATTAGCTTCATACTATTACTAATTTTTTTTTCATCCATTTTCTATTATTTTTTATACATATTTAGAAGTGTAATGATTAAATTAAAAGGTATTTATTTATTAATGCATTAGCAGGATCTGATGGAGATGTTATTAATATGTAACGTATATAGGTTAAAGGAAAAGGAAATTTTATTAATGATTATTAATGATTTTATTTATACATTTATATATTAATATAACATATATGTAAAATTTTGAGTTAAAATCATATCAATTGACCAGAAGATGACAATTATTTCAAGATTACAAGCACTAATGTTACTGCTATTATTAAAATATTTATTTCTTTTTCCAAAGGTTGCAAACCTGTAAATGATTTTCGGCATGAGACCTCAAAGTCATAAAAGTCGTAAACCGTAAAACCGTAATGCTGTAAATGCCGTAAAATCGTAATAGTAATGCCGCAATGCCGTAAATTCCGTAAATTCCGTAAATTCCGTAAATTCCGTAAATTCTAATTCCGTAAATTCCGTAAATGCCGTAAATGCCGTAAATGCCGTAAATGCCGTAAATGCTGTAAATGCTGTAAATGCTGTAAATGCCATAAATGCCGTAACTCCTGTAAATCCTAATGCCATAGTAATACTGTAACACCTAATAACAACATAGAAATTTTTTCCATGAACCTTTAATAATATTAAACGTCTTTTTTATTAATTCAATTAAACATAACATAAACATACTAATGTAGGTTTTAAACAACAGTGAGTGAGTGATAATAAATATTTATAGAAATAGTTATATTATAGAAGTGATAAGTTTTTTCTTAACAAAATATTTTTCA